CGGTCCAGCAGCTCCTCGATGAAGTGCTGGAGGCGGACCTTGGCATTGGCTTCACGGGCGGCCGTCTCCTTCAGGAACTGGTCGATCTGCAGCACCTCCCTGCGTGGAGAGACCAGCGGGTGAACACCTTAGTCCTTTCCCTCCCGTTCCTGTTAAGTGTCTCCATCCCTGTCTGTGTGCTGGATTGGGAGGTCAAGGTAAAGCATGTTTGTGCACATCTGGACCGTTCCATCATCAGCCTAATTTCATAGAATGGTTTGGGTTGGAAGGGACCTTCAAGATCATCTAGTTCCAACCCCCCTGCCATGGGCAGGGACACCTTCCACTAGATCAGGTTGCTCAAAGCCTCAACCAACTTGGCCTTGAACACCTCCGGGGTGTTCCATGCCAGACCAGGAGGCTCCTGGGCATGGTTTGAGGCAGAGCAGGGACCAAGAGATGCTCCCGCCATGCAGACCTCACATGCCGACCTCATCTGCTGCCCAAAAACACGGGCGCGCTCACCCCTGCCAACTCCATCCACTTCCCAAAAAACACGGGCACGCTTACGCCCGCCGACCTCATCTGCTGCCCAAAAACACAGGCATGCTCACCCCCACTGACTTCATCTGCTGCCCAAAAACATGGGCGTGTTCACCCCTGCTGACCTCATCTGCTGCCCAAAAACATGGGCACGCTCACCCCTGCCAACTCCATCCACTTCTCAAAAAACACGAGCACGCTCACCCCCGGCGACTTCATCCGCTGCCCAAAACCACGGGCAGGCTCACACGTGCGCACACACCCCCAGACATATGTACAGTTGGGCATGTGCACACACAGCACCGATCACACCCGCACGGTCGATGGCACACACACACGTGTGCACAACTGCTCTCACACCTTCACACAGCATCCATGAGCCCCCACGGACGCACAAATACACCTCTGACCGTCTGTCTTGTGCACACCTGACTGTGCACACCCAACTGTGCACACCTGACCATGTACACCTGACTGCGCACACCCAACTGCACACACCCAGCCATGTACACCCGACTGTGCACACCCGAACATGCACACTTGACTGTGCACACCCAACTGTGCACACCCAACCATGTACACCCAACCATGCACACTCGACTGTGCACACCTGACTGTGCACACTTGACCATGCACACTCAACCATGCATACTCAACCCTGCACGCCTGACTGTGCACACCCGACAATGCACATCCGACTGTGCTCACCTGACCATGCGCACCTGACCATACCCACCCAACCATGCACATCTAACTGTGCACACCTGACCGCGCACACCCAACCATGCACAGCCAACCTTGCCCACTTGCCTGTGCATACCCGACTGTGCACACCTAACCATGCACATACCCACCCATGCACACCCAACCGTGCACACCCAACCGTGCACACCCGGTTGCACCAGTCTGCACCGGAGCATGAAGGAAAAGGAGGGGGCAGCCCTTAGTGACATAATTCCCATTGCTGGTTATTAATTGCCATTTAATTACCAATTAATTGTCCCCCAACCTCCCATTTGCAGGGTGAGCCTGGGAGCTCCCTGGTAATGATTTGGGAAGGCTCGGGGCGAGGAGGCCCTGGAGATTTGGAAGGCAAATGGGGTGCTGGCACTGCAGGTGTAAGGTGATGCTGATGGTTATCACCTGCATCGCTCATTCCCATGGACCGGGCGGAAAAAACACCCCCAGCAAAGCAGATGGAGCCCAGGAGCAAAAAGCCTCCCATAGGGACAACGGCCTCGCGGTGCTTCGGAGGTGGCAGGGCTGGGAAATGTCCCGGGCAATGTTTTGTTCTTGGGGAAGGGTGAAACTCGCTTTGCCGATTAAAATGATTTCCGATGATTTCCCACCATCAAGGAAAACCCGATCTCTTTTCGTCAGCTCTTCCCATGCTCTGTCTGCAACCTGGCACGTGATTTTGTTGCTCTAGGTGGAGGAGTCTGGGGACTGATGGGGACAGTCAAGGAGCAGGAGGGTTTCTCTAAGGAAAGGGAATTCCAGTAGGTAGTTTTGGGACATAAAACCATGTTCTCAGGTGGTAACAGTGTCCAGGCTCCACCATGGACCAAACAAGATGCATTTGACCCATTGGTGACCCTCTGTCTGCACTCCCTCACATCTCTCCAGGCCCTGCTCCAGAGCTGTCCACCCTCTTGGCCCTCCTCCTGCCACCACGCACCTCCAAGATATCCCTGGACAACACCACGAGGCAGCCCCCAAACCTCCCCATTGCCTGTCCCATGCACATGCATCCAAACCAAGAGGTGTTGCCCTTATGCAGCCCCAGCGTCATCCCACTCCTCAGCCCAGGACCATCCCCACCACCAGTAAATCCTGTGAACTGCAGGATTTCTGAGCTGCAGTTGTTATTTTGGAGTCGAAGTCATTAATGAACATGCTGACGATGGTGGGGATCAAGACAAGTCCTTGAGGAATCCTACCAGTCCTCCCAGCCCAGAAAAACCATGACTGTCCCTGACTCCCCTGCTCCTCACTGACTTTTGGGACCCCGTGGTGGCCTCCAGCTTTGCTGCGAAACTTCTGAGGAACAAGGTCTAGTTTGCTTGAGCAACACTGATGGGCAAAATGACCCAACGCTTGACTGGAGGGAAAGTCAGGAGCAGCGCTGGGGTGGGAAGGGGGCACTGGGTGGGGAATGTGGGATGAAAAATGAGGATGACAGTGCCATGGTCCTAACAGGAAGTGGAGATCACACTGCTTGGGCTGTTCTACCCACCTTCTGTGAGAAAAATCCTGAATTAGGCATGGCCGAGGTGGCCCCTCTCATGTTTATGACCATGGGACATGTTGATGGGACTGCTGAGGTTGTACAGCACTGGATGCTCCAGCTGTGGAGCCAGAGGGGATGACCCAGCTCTGGTTTTGAGGGGACACCCTTTGGTACTAGAGATAGGCTGCAGCAACATGGCCAACACCATGTTCCTTGGCAGGACAGCAGGATGGTCATGCGCATCCCCAGCCTGGCTATGTCCTGTGGACACTGGTGGCTCTGGGACAAAGTCTGGCATGACATCACTCATCTTGGTCACAGACATGGAGAGGCTCAGGTCTACGCAGGCACTGTCTGTGTGGGAGAAGATGCAAAACCTGATGAGAGATGATGCTAATGGGCATTGCCAAGGGGATTGCACCCTAGCACTTGGTCTCAGGGTTTGGTGATAGTGTTGGGCTCCTCAGGGCTGCCCACCAGGGACTGATCTCCCCCCACCCTGCAGCTGGGAGAGGGGGCAAAGGACTCACTGTTGCTTGCGAGTGAGCTCCTGCTCCTTCTGCACCAGGTCCTGCTTGAGGGAGGCCAGCATCTCCACGCTGACGTCCACCTGGCGAGACAGTTCAGATGCCCGGTCCTCCAGCTCCTGCTTCTCCCGGCTGAGCCGCAGGCTCTCCTGTTTGGCCTTCTCCAGCTCCGAGCTCTTGCGGTCCAGCTCGACCTGGAGCCGGCCCACCTGCGAAGCGATCTTCTGCTCCACCTCCTCCGTCAGCTTCTCCAGCCGCTTGGCCACCGGCACGGATCTTCAGGCGGGCCAAGCCTTCCTCGTAGGCAGTGTCCATCGTGGCCGGTGGCGCAGGGGCCGGCGCCACAGCTTTACCCCGGGTGAAGATCTCCGTCAGCGGGATCTCGATCTCGTGGACATAGCGGGGCGAGGGGGAGGAGGACGGGGCCGGCTCCAGCTCCTCGGCGGGGACGAGGTCGCAGGAGAAGCGCTGGTCCTTGCCTTGGAAGGAAGTGCTCTCAAAATAGTCCCGCCGGGCAGCAGGTGTCAGCAGGGCCCCGTCAGCGGCCAAGGGGAAGACGGCGGCATCGCAGATGCTGTTGGTCTTGGAGAGGACGTAGAGGGTCTCATAGGTGTGGTTGTACTCCAGGTGCGCCCGCAGCGAGGAGAGGCTGCGGAAGCGCTTGTGCTCCCCGCACCGCGGACACCGGTAGGGCAGGTCCAGCG